TTGCACTACTTGTAATTGATGCAGTTGAGTTTGAGTGACCATGTTCCAAGCAGAAGCAGCATAACAAAGTATCGGTCGAATGTAAGTGGTATAAATATGTCTTTTGGTGCGCAAGCTAAAATTTGAATATTTTCCAATGACCGGGAGAAATCCGCACATTATGCCCATGGCTTTGCTCTTGACACATTTAATGTGGTTGGACCATGTAAGCCTTTGGTTCAAAATAATTCCTAAATATTTTGCCTTTGTAACCAAAGGAACAGCTTCTTGAAAAAGGTAGATATCTTTAAAAGCAATGTTTTTCTTAGTTTTGCTGAGAATTAAAAGTTGTGACTTGCTAGCATTGATTTTTTACACGCCAATTTGTGCACCAATCTTCTGCAGCATAGAGGTAATTTTGCATTTTGTCTATTGCATGATTAGCTTGGATAGATTTAATTGCAATCGCCGTACCATCGGCATAACATGCTAACAGAGAGTAAGTATCTAAACCAGAGTGTGGAAAGTCTGATACGTAGAAAAGATACAGCACTGGACCGAGAATGCTTCCTTGTGGGGCGCTGGATCTTATAGGCCTTGAATTGGATTTTTCAGTTCCTTGAGCGACGAAGAAAGTGCGGTTCTGCAAAAAGGCAAAGATCAGAAGAATGAGTTCTCTGGAAAGTCCCAAACTGATAAGCGCTTGAAGATAAGCCCCTCATGCCAGACGCGGTCAAAGCATCCTTTTGTTGTTCCAGACATTTTTTTACCTGATACAGAGTAAAAGCGCGCTGTCATGCGCTGTCACTCTCTCCCCATTGGACACAAGTTCTGTCTCTGCGTGTATTTCTGTGCGTATTACTCTGTAATAAATGTTTGTTTTGCGAAATACGGCATTTTCAATGTTCATCAGTTAGTAATTTTTTTTCTGATACTAAGAAAATTATTATTTAATATTACATACACGTTACTACTTAAAATTAAAAGTATATTGTTTCTATAGGTAAAGATTAAAAATCCTTGCATTTCTATGTACTGTACTGTATGTACTGTAGGCAGCAACAAATTCATCTCTTTACCAAAACAAGTTTCAACACTGTTCAGGTAAAAGTACTGGTAAAAATAGAAGCATTATTTTACTGTATATATTTATAATCTTTTTATTGTTTAACTTTACTTATCCGTAATACAATTACAAAATTTTTAGTTTATATGTGCTTAAAAAGGAGCAGTTTTATGACACCAGTAAAATGTCTTCTAGGATTCTCAAGAAATGTGTTGACAAATAAATTAAAAATAAAAAAAAAACATTTTGTACGTACAGAGCTCGAAAGCCCGTCGGCCCTTGATTCGAGTATCGAGTACTCGAAAATGACCAAAAATTATCGAGTATCAAGCTCGAGCCTAAGTTCGTTCCAAACTCTAATTGCAACGGTAAAGCTGACTGATTGTGCACGAAAAATAACGACACAATTAAAACCAGCACAAAAGAAGATCAACGAAAAAATATTGTCAGTAATTTATTTGTACTTACGAATAATTCGAAAGTTAGGCATACGTTGGATAGAAAGAATGTAGTCAAAGCCTGGGTTACAGATACGAACCCTTTTGACAATATAATACTCATGATGTTTGCAATGCAAGATCCTATGTCTAGGGCATGAAATTTCTGCTTTCCTTATTTTCGCACTCTCATAAGACTTACTCGAAATTCCAGCTTTTGGAGTCATTTTACGGCAAAAAAATTTGAATTCACAAAAAGAAAGCGATTGAATAGCATGAAGAAAAAGGAAGTGACGTCGCGAATTAATCCCATTTTCTACGCTTTGTTTCTTTATATTCCGCCACTGGCAACGGCGAAGAGCGACGCTCAGTGCAATGATGTCATCCAAAACAAGCTTTCGACGGGTTTTATTATTATTTTTTTTTAAACGCGTTTATTTATTTCTTATTTCGAATCCCCCTCTTGCGGTTTACCAAGAGTGATAAAATGGTTGAAAGTTGTGTTTGGCGTAGATGCGGTTTCTCTTTAAAAAGAGGTCAAGTTCGAAGTAAAATGAGTGGATCGCGCGTACAAGTAAGTTTTGTCAACAGAAGTAGCAGCTGCGGGACCTGTGCGTGTTATGTCCAACAAAGCACAGCCTTGCGTATTCGCGCGTGACTCATGTGAATAAGAATTTCAGAAAATCTAATTTTTTCGAAAAACACTTTGCATGAAATTCATCCTTTCCCTATTTTCGAGCTATCATTATTTTTGTCTGTTAAAGGCAGTCCACTTGTACGAACGAACTTCGATTGTAAACGAAAAATGTTTATTTCCCATAAAGAGCAACAAAAGATACGAATAACTCTATCTTTTTAAAGCATCTTAAAGACTGTAGAAGCCAGGATCAAAAGGGAGAAGTTCAGCTTCATGCAGAAGAGAAACAAAACGCAGTCGATGCAAAACAAACTTAATTTTAAAACTTCAAAATTTCAGAAAGAAGGCAACTTTTTATTATAATTAGCCCAAAGGACGTTGGCCAAGAAGGGCTATTAATTTCAAAACGGCATTTTGCGTCCATTCACTTTCAAACTGTTTGCCACCAAATATTATCGCCATGTATTATATTTAAAGGAACTAAATAATGAAAAACTGCATGAATGTCTTTCTCATTGTGAAGAAACAACGGTACCCAGAGCCATCAAATTTTAAATAACGTAACAACACACGCACTTGGAAGCCCGAATTTTTAATTTTTAATTTGTTTTATTATCTATTTAAAATTTTGTGAAACTTTAACGAAGTTTTTATTAACAAACTCAACGCTTTTAAAGAGAGCAACGGCAACTCTGTACGGAGAAAAAAAAATTTTTCTCCAGCGAGCAAGACTGTGTATCGGAAATTCTAAAGATATGCTGTTGAATTGAATTTTTCGTGTTTTAAGTGCGAAGAACATTATATTTAATAAATAAAGATAACACACAAAGCGTTAAAAAAAGTCCTTTTGGGTGTAATATAAAATCTAGATTTTTTTTAATTTGATTTTTTATAAATTTAACTAATTAAAGTTAAATTTGAAATGATCTGTATATCAATAGCTACATTTCCAATTTTCATTTTCCACGTGTGACTTAGCGCAATATATTGCTTTAGCCCGTTTCTAGAAAAAAACAATACAAAGTCTCTGACTGCAAAGCACTCTCTTCTTTCTTTTCAACTGGCAGCTAATGCGGCTAACCGCTTAAAATAAATACTATTAAATAAAAAAGAGAATGATTTTAATAAGTTCAGCTAGTTTCCTAAATTCCGCTTCCTAAATTTTTTTCATTTATGACTTCTTTTTAGTCATCGAGATTTTTTCCCCCAGATATTAAATATACAATAAAGCTATAAAAATAAATATTTTCTTATATGTACTGTTATTTAGTACCTTCAACCAAATCCAAACCATTAATCTGCAAAATCGTTGTTTCGACAGATACATATTTAAAATTTTGAGGCTTTGAAAATAAAATCGGTTAATAACATCCTCACACTGCAAACAGTAAATCTTGTCCCTGCACTGAAGGGCCGAATTTCCTTCCTTGAGTAGCTCTTGATCAAAACCAAGAGATTCTAAACCGAAGTACGTAATCTCTGATATTAAAAACATTTTTCATTAATTAGAATAATGTTACAAAATTCTTAAAAATTGTCAGTTGAGTATATCATATATTAAATACATTTTAATTTACATCAGTCATCTAGATGCTTAAAAATAGAATAAAGTTTTATTTTGCTGTCAAGAATTACGCTTCATGCCTTTTAATTTTTTCAGTTCATTAAGCAGTTATACAATGATAAATTGAAGATTTTACGTTAACCGAATGGCAATCCTCTGAAGTGGCTACATAAAAAATGAATGGCAGACGTTATATATCGAGCACTGGCAGCAGTTTGCCAAGTCTCGTAGATGAAAAATACATGGTAGCGTAATTTAAAGGTCCACAATTTTTTGGGTAGTTTCCCTAAGAATATTTCTAATTTCAAAATTCGGGTGAAGTCGGACAAAACAGTACAAGTCACCACTGATGCTCTAGTCACCATGGCATTAAAACGTGAAAGATGGACTACAGTTTAACAGCCTCACTCTTTAATGGCAATTCATGTGGACAAAGGTTTCTCCCACTTTACGAATTAAGAATGATTTTGTGGAAACTTCGTAAGAGGAAATGGCGTAAAATAAAGAAGCAGTTTATAAGCATATTATATGAAATTAAGCGCTGTTTGGCCACACTTTTTCTCTGAATTTTTAGGAATCGAACGCAGTGATTTTTAGCCTTAGTAAGCCATAATATCTTTATCTTTGAAGCAACGCTCATCAGTGGCCGAGCGATCATCGACCTGAGCTCACCCTGCGAACGCAGACTGCAGAGAAGATTTTCGTGGTTTTCCTCGAGTGTAAATGAATATAAAACCATTTTCCATAACAAGTCCTCTATAAAAGCAACTGTCCTTTCAGTGAGGCAGTCCTTGCGTGCTTTGCCATGATTCAATTGACTCAAGCCTCAAAATTTGAATTGTATTATATTTTCTCCCTCTCTTCTGCATGCCTTCGTGGAGTAACGGTAGCACACTCGGCGCATATTCGAGAGGTCCAGCTTCGATTTCCGGCGAGGGCACTGCTCATGTTTCAAGTCTCCTGCTTAACCTAATGATGCTACAGTGGCGCCCGAATTGAAAGGTGGTGGACGATGAATCTTCACCACCAGGATTTGGCGATGTCCCTTAATCCCTAGTCACCCTTTAAAAGAGGGAGTGTATAAGGTATTTTCTACCTCCTTTCTGATGCCTTGGTGGTGTAATGGTAACACAGTCAGCGTGCACATATCTCCTGCTTCGAAATAACCCAATGACTCTACAGTGTCATGTTTTTTAACTTTCATTAACTGATTCCTATGTATTTTTTGCATTGAATCCAAAAATGACGTTCATTTTTTTCTCATCACTTCAGGGTTTTTCGGAAATCCCAACTTTCAAAATTTGTAAAAAGTTAACCGCTCATCCTTTGCTTCGCACTTTTCCTTTTGTTACCTTGATGGTGTTCATCTCGGTGTACCGTCCAGCAGTACTCAACCATCATCGAAGTTGTTCATTTTCCTTGATACTTCCTTTCCATTTCTCTGATGTTTTGATAAAACCTCTCACCTTTCTCTTCGTACGGCACCCAGATGTTCAAGAAAATATTCCAAATGTGAATATAGGAAATTAACTTTTAAGCTCATGGAGCAGCCTAAATTTTTGTACTTTGCAGCATGTACTCAACGATTGATTTAAAGTTCGGATTTTTTTCATTAGCTGGAAACTTGGTTAATATCTGTGTAAAGACTCTCTAAGCTTCTTTTGCTGCAGCTTCCATTTGATTCTCAAAATTATCATTTTTGAGAAGTTTTCTGATGTCAGGACCCTCTTTTAGTCTGGCCGTTGATACGGCTGGAAGTTTGTCATAGATGTATTTAAAACATTGACCTTCTTTTGGTAAGCTTTAAACAAATTGCGTCATCAAGCCTATTTGATATGCAGACGTGGGAGGAGAACTTTATTCGGATCTATGAGAGCTTTTCGAAGCACAGTTTTGGTTCTAGGCTCTTCGTCTTCAATTTAAAACATTTTGTAGATTCCCTAGGGGTATTTAGAGGGGATAAGAAAGAGGAGGGAGAGTTTCAATGACCCAATCTCTCTTCTATGAATTAAAGAAAATTAAAAGAAATAAATGAAAATTGCAATAAAGTAGAAAATTAGGCTCATTTATAACAATTTTCAAAAACTGAAGGCGTCAATGAATCTCCCGAGTTCTGTAAAATTTTGCTTTTGTCAAAGCATAACATCTTAAATCTATCTTTCAAATTTATTCAGTTTGTAACTGCTTAATAAACTCAGTGATTTAAAAGCAATAACTGGCATTTTTTATTATTTTTCTCTATTCAAAATAAGAAATGTTCCTTTCAAAGCAGAAAGTCTAATTAGAGACGATATGAAGAAACAAAGCAAAAACCGAAGCACTTGAAACGTATTCATGCCCTTTAAAAAAGGAAAATTTCTCTGACGAAAGACATGCATTGGGTGCAACCTGATAAACACTGTGATAAGATGCACTCTAAGAAAAAAGCGCTTTTTTCTGCATCCCACTTTTCTACCTTCCATTTTGCGCGGACACAGACAACGAGTCTCGAATCTAAAGTGTCTTTCAGAGCTTCCGATAAAAATGGCGCAAAAGGGGAACTAGAAAACATTTTGTTTCTGTTCAGTAAAGAGACAGATGTTCGCAAGTAACGAGCATACTTTATAATGTTTGTTTGCTCAGCGGGACGCGGGGTCTATCTGTAAACGCCTGTATTTTCTCGCACGGAATACTGCTTTACCGGTTTGGCAACAGCGTAATAACGCTGACTTTTAAGTTCCTTCTTTCTTTCTCTCTCTCTACCCGCCATTGTAGCGGAGCAAGTTTGCATAAAATAAACACGCCTACAGTAAAAGGAAAGGCGATCGATTTCTTGCCCAATTCATCTAAACATTGTGCCCCAAGTTATCACGCGCTTTAAAAAATCGTTATTATTGATAAATAAAATCAGAACAGCGTGAGAATATTAGTTATTCAGTTTTCATTAGTAATTATTTGGAAAGGCGCCGTTTTGTAATGAACTGGATCTCAGGTTCACACTGAATTAAAAATGAATTTTATCCATACCCATATTCTAAGTAAACTGCATTATTTTTTCAAGGTATAGATAATTCCAGCTATGGAGAAGTATCAAACTATGACTTTATGGTTGGCAAAAGATTCGAACGCTCTTGCACCATTTTCACAACTCAAGTAGGTAGCAACAGCTAATTCTAATTTCAGTATTACGTTACTACAAATTTACAAGGACTTAAATATTTATTTCACTGTTTCAGATTTTTTATTTTTTTTATTTTTTATTTTTTTAATAATGCCTTTCTTTTTTTTTAGCTATTTTAACTGCAAGTTAGCTTAACGAAACCCCAAAGAACAAATAGCAGTCGAGTCAAAAACGTGTATCAAATGATAAAGGAATGAAACTTCTGTCGTAAGGTAACTCGTGTGGTCAGCAGACTTCGTTGCCTATTGTACTTTCTAAGTGATCCTCCATAGATACAACAAATGAATTTCAAGCCCTGGACTCGTCTGGAATATCCCTCGTCTTCATCTAACCCTTTCATATACAATATTCAAGTCCCAAATGCCACCGCAAGGAAGAAATGGTATCGTAAGAAATTATATGAGCTACCGGAACAAACGTCGATGAACAAACAGATCAGGAGAAAACAATGTATAACCGAAACTATATGTCATATAAATGAAATATTTTACTTCTAACATAAAAAGGAAATGAATCTTGACAGATATGAAACATAGCATAAATATAAAGGTCGTATAAATAAGAAGAGTATAAGTACCTGTCTTCCATTGTATGTATAAATTTATAATATATCCAGCTGATAATTTTTATAAGCATTTGCAACTTTACTCTAATTATTAAAAGATATTTCTAATGTCATATATTACTTATCTCGGTAAAGAAGATTCAGTTTTGTATTTTCCTTTGCTAAAGTTTTTATTTAACAATCTTCGTTGAAACTAAACAGACGAAAGAAAAAATAAAATACCTTCATTTACTTATCTTAACATATAACTGGTCTACAGAAAGGGGAAAGAAATGCCTGAAGGTTTCAGATTGCAGTATAGCACTTCAAAAAATGACTTACAATTAAAAATTTCAGAAACATTATAATTTTTTTTAATGATTCTGTACTAGTCTTTAACATACTATGATATCAAAAACGTCTTCGAAGTTCGAATTTTTATAAAATTTCTCAGTTGGTTATATTAAAAGAGATCTATTTTTTTATCTATTTTTTTATCTATATTTTTTTTATCTTATGTTAAGTTGATATATTGTAAAACATAGTAAAATAGAATTTTAAATTATTAAAAACTATTGATCTTAAATCGCTCAATTTGTTAACTGATTAAATCTGAAAGTTGAATGAACGACGTTATGCTTTGCCGAATGAAAACACTTTACGTGTCTTCATTCGGCAATTCATTCATTCATTCATTCATTCGGCAATTCATTCATTCCTTCATTCATTACGTGTGCGCGTAAGATAAAATTAAAGGTCTTATATTTCCTATATGGGCAGCACTTCTAGAGTTAACTAAAGAGAAAAAAGGGTAATGTAAAATTATGCGAAATAGATTTTAAATAGAACTCTCTCGATTTCAAAGGGAACAAGATATAGGTCTCTTTGCTTCTGAAGGACGAAAAAAAAAAAAAATTGCCGATCCCTAGCGAGAAACAACTGTTTCTTCCAAAATTAATATCTTAAGGTTTATAATAATAAAAAAGCAGCTTTTAGTTTTTCTGTTCCTGTCATGATAGTTTTTGCTAGGACAGAATTTTATACGTCAAGTGAAAACAATCCATCTCTTTGGAAGTGTGAAAAAAAAAAAAAAAAAAAAGAAAGCTTTCAGATTTTATATTACGCCCAAGGGGCGTTTTTTAACATTTTGTGTGTTACCTTTATTTATTAAATATCATGTTCTTCGCACTTAAACCATAAAATTTAATTCAGCAGCAATATCACAAAAATATGTAAAAAAAGCATATCTTTAGGATTTCCGATACACAGTTTTTGACGCAAAATGCCAAAACGAAATTAATAGGCCTTCTAGGTTAACGCCCTTTGGGCTAAAAAAAAATCGCATTTTACTAATAACTGGATGTTTTATGGCTGCATTTAGGTCGTATATTTGAAATTCTATTGCACATATTAAAATCGCAGAAGTGATGACTTAAATCAAGTAGAATACAATTGGAAATACAGAAGAAAACAACTTCCTTGGTAACGCCAAACTGGGCATGGCAAACGTACAGTTACAGGAACTACATTGGAAAACAAAAATTTTCACAAAAGTATCGCTTTTGTGACAGCTGTAAATAAATAATTGCAGCTATTAAAGTTGCAGTTTCCGTATTATACAAAGAACAGCAGAAGTACATCTACAACAAAACAGAAAGCTGTACAGGTGAATAAATACGGAAAATCATCTAGATGTGGGAAGATCCGCTAATAGGGGCTGCGGGGTGTTTCAAAGGAAAAAACATTAATTAAAAAGAGATATCCTGAAAATGAAGTAAAATCGACAATGAAAGATAGAAGGGAAATACGCCAGCTGAACTTTAAAACTGGGAAAAGTGTAAACTTAGATTTACGCTTGGCGTTAAAAAGAAGTTTAATGCATTTCAAGGGAGATTAAGATATGTCTCGAACAAAATATGTTTGTCTTTCATTTTCATTACAGGATTACGCATGACACGATATAAAATAATTATTCTAAAGCGAAACAATTCAGAGCCAAGTATACACGTAGTACAGAGTATTTATTACAAATGCCTTTTTATTAACTATGCTTAAAAAACTATCATTTTGTATGTATTCAAAATTAAATATTTTTGAAATATATGAATTAAAAACAAAGATTTAAATTATTAAGAAATGAGCTTACCGTTTTTAAATAGCTAATTTGGGGAAGAAACTATAAATAAGAAACTATAATTTCAAAGATGAATTAATGTTGTTATATTGTGCAGAATGGCAAAACTTAGAAATATCTATTTGATAAGTTTAGTGGAAGATAAAGCTATTACGCTTTGCGTAATGGCAATACTTGCCGTGTCGTGTGGATGAAAAGTATATAGTAGTTTAATGTAAGTAACGTTAAGAAAGATTTATCAGAAAACTTTTCTAATGTTAAAATTATTAAATACGTGTATAAACAAATTATGCAAAGTACGTGTATCTTAAAATGGTATCAAATAGAGTTATTAATAAAAATTACAATAAAATTATAAATTATTAAGAATTGCTTTTGTTGCTTTTAAAACGCTTAGCTCATTAAGCTACGGCAGTTAGAATTTAGACGAAAAATATCTTATGTCCCAAATCTTACCTTAAAAAATTATACGTGTTCAAAAAAAAAAAAAAAAAATCGAAGAACGATCAACGAATGCACCGTTGTCTCCAAAAATCAGAATATATACCATGATCTAGACTAGACTAAGGATGGCGAAGTGGTACGTGACAGGTATTTCGGTGGCACGCCACAGGTACATATTAAATTACTTTTATTCGCTTACATTCACTGAAAACAACATACCCCCCCCCACACACACACAAAAAAAGGTTTTCCAAGACTAGTGGCCAGGGCAGATTTAAAAACTGAGCATGGGCATTATGACATTTTCCAGGAGTGTTTAAGTGGTTTTAATCAGCACAGATGTGCGAGATACAGTGGCGTGATTTTTTTATGGATGAGAGCACTTACGAACGCTTTCTTTATTGATTCAAACAATTTAATTTTCTGAATATAACAGTCTGAAAAGACGGCAAGATAAAAGGCTTCTGTACTTCACAAAAACTTAATTTTTGAATAAATGTCACATAAAACCCTTATATTAGAGCAGTAGTTCTCACAATTTATTAAAGGGACAAAGAAGGATTTTTAAAATTAATCATTTTTATGCAGATTCGATGCTTCGCGTCAATGTGAGAAAGAGTTCGCGAGTTAGAGTTCGCCAGTTTGAAACTTCTGGTTCTTTAAAGGAAGAGGTAGGAGATTAAGCCTCTCGTTATAACTACACTAAATAGCTAATCATGGCTACCCCGTTAAGTGCGGAGATTTAATTAACTTTGTTATTAACCTGGTGCAATGCAATTGACTTCAATAAACTTTTTTTCTTTCATATCTCTTTTTAAATGCGTACCCAAATAAGTGATGCAATGGAGAAATGAATAAATTCTTGTTTTTTACGTACTGCATTGAGCAATCCCGCTCGAAAGAGGGAGCGAGATGTCCAAAACATACCAAAAAAGAGGAGTGTTTGTTTACCCTTCACTCTCCCCATTTGACGCCAATGAAAGGAATTGTACAAAAATAACTGCTTGCAAATACTGATCTAGAGCCAGATTCTGAGAATTTTCGTGTTCACTTGAGTTAATTTGTGTGTGTATCTTATTATTTGTGTTATGTATATTAAATATATATATATTTTTTTTTCCTTTCCTTTTTTGTGGTTCTGAACGCGAACCTGCCAAATATGCTTCCGAAAAAAGGAAACTTAGCAAGGATAGTAGCCGAATTTTTACAGAACAGTGGATAACGGACTGGAGTTATACAGAAAAAAAAAGTTCTGTGTTATGCTCCGTAACGTTAGTATCTCGCACATTTACTGTAAAGCGTCATTTCGAGACGAATCAAAAATGTTTGCATCTTTAAACAATGAAGAAAGAAGAAAGTTCATTGCACAAAAAGTAAAGCAATACGAAAAAAAAAAAAAAAGTTCATTTGTATTTTCTTTTAAGCCAAAGAATAATATCACTGAAGCGAATTTCCATGTGTCTCACTGCATATCACAGCATGGGAAACCGTTTTCTGATGGAGAGTTTCTGAAGACGGCTTTCTTAGTCACATCCGATAAATTATTTGGAGATTTTCCCAACAAATAACAAATAACAAATAATCAGTAGAATTTGATAACTGCCTGCCAGTAGGAATACTGTGAAGGATAGAATAATAAAAATGAGTGAAGCTGTTTCAAAGAAAATGTTTATGCAAGTCGGATGTTTATGCAAAGTCGGATTTAGATAACGTCGGGTTATTTTCTGTATGCCTTATTGAAAGCACCGATGTTACCTTTATCAGCAAGGTTACCTGTTTTCCTTCGATTTGCTTGCGGAAATGTAATGAAATAGGAATTAGTTGCATTGCTGAGTTTACCAATCACGACTACAGGTAAAGGTACAATGAATGAAATAAAGCAAGAACTTGCAGTGAAAACGGGGTGTGACTTAAAGAATACTGTGTCTATAAAAATTGATGGTGTCCCAAATATGGTAGGGATGTATAATGGGTTTGTAAAATTTCTGACTGAAGAAGTTCAACGCACGATTGTGCACTTTCATTGCATTTTGCATCACTATGAGCAAAGTTTAGTATGAAATCATTTCAAAATGTTGAGTCTGTAATAACTAAAATTGTGAACTTCATAACTGCCCGTGCTCTAAATAATCGCCTGTTCTCGAAGTTGTTACAGGAAGATTCTGAATATGGTGGTCTTCTCATGTACATTAACGTTCATTTGCTGAGTCATGGCCAAGTTCTTCACAGATTTGTCGAACATTTGGATGAAATTCAATTTTTATAACAGAAAGGTAACAAGAATTTCCCGAACTTCATGGACCCTATTTGGCTGTGTGATTTTATGTTTTTCAACGACTTTACAAGACTATATAACAATGTAAATAACGAATTACAAGGAAGAGGACAAACTGCAAATAGTTTGGTGGAGATCATAATCATAGAGATGATCATAATAGCCTTAGAGCGCAAACTTAACGTATTTCTTAAAGATATTTAGACAAAGAAGTTTGAAATTTCCCATCAGTAAAGAGACACTTAGAACTGATATCGAATTTTACTGATAAATTATCTTTCGAAGACATAAAATATATTTAAGATGTCATAAATTCAAAGGAAACAGTATCAGCACGATTTTCTCAATTTTGAAATCTGAAGAAAACAGTGCAGTTTATTTCAAGACTTCACTTTGGAACTTACTAAAATGCATGATTTTAAAATAACATTTTTTGAGTAGTTGGATATTGACAATATGGAAATGGAATTGAGAGGAAAGGCTACATGAGGAGTGAAGAATTTTGTAAAATTTGGGGAAGCATTAGAAGATTTGGAATGCGCGGATTCCAAATACTGCATCCAAGAGACAGCAACTTAATCCTTGAACAATGGAACAATCTCCCACAAAAAGTTTTGGCCATGAGAAAATTTGCAATACCATTGTTTTCAATGTTTGGGTCCTGAAACGCTTCTGAGCAGGTGTTTTAATCGATGGACTCTATAAAATCGACTGTAAGAAACCTCCTTGAGACAGATTTAAGTGAATCTCGTCTGTTATTCAAGACAACAAGTTATGACCTAAATATAAATGACATGGCTAATAAGGTTCCGCAACAGATGTCGCACTAAATGGGATTAAATGCCGATAGTTTTTGAATGTCATATTGTAATATTTGTTTATAATGTTAAATGAATGTATTTTTTAAAGTAAAAAGTATATTACGTGAAGCGTCTTAAAGAGGACACCATTTTTTTAAAGTGAATAACTACAATTTATAATATATTTTGAATTAAAACAGAAGCGAAACACGCCAAAGTGAAACATAAAATTAGCAAAGCAACAATCTTGTGTTTGGCTTGGATTTAATCAATGACTTAAATACTAATCTAAGCCAAGCACAAGATTATTGCTTTATTAATTTTATATTTTGAATATTCTATTGTGGTTTATGCGCTGTCGGCGAAGTAGATTTAATTAAATCCAATAAGTTTAAAAGAAATGCAAGAAACAAATGCGTATAATTTAATATTCCGTACAAGGAAGTCAGT